CATCTACAGACCTGAAAATTTTACTGGCAGACGCGGCATAACCCACTACGCGTGGGAAAAATACCAGTTCTTAAAACGAACTTTCAAATTTTGCACAAAGACTGGGATCCGGCGGTAAACCGTCAACCAGGTAACCCCCGGGAGCCTCGTAGAGCTCTGTTCTCGCGCGGCGCTGCGGAGCACACGAAAAAAGCTTTCTCAATCGTGAAGAAAAAAGCTCGGACAAATATGTTTTTTTTTTTTTTTTTCATTTTGCATTTTCGTTTCGTGGACCTAGCTCGAGTACCAGAGCGAGTTCAGACCTCTCGATGCGAGAAAAGAACGCGCCGGGTGATACTGGATCGGATTATATGCGCACCAGCTCTGTAGCTTTTCTAAATCGTCAGTTAAGTACAGGAAACCGAGAGGACTTGTCAAATGACTTGAAGGATACAAATAGTATTGCGGACCTAGCTCGAGTATAAGACCGAGTTCAGACCTCTGGATGCAAGGCACGAACGCATCTGATGATTCCCGATAGGTTTCTCAGTATGAGATCTGTAGCTATCCGAAATCTCGAGTTAAGTACCGAAAACCGTCAACGCGTGTCAGGATGACTCAGAACACAGTCGGTTCCCGCAAGTGTGTTGATGGTAATATTCCATCTACGGACCTGAGCATTTTACTGGCAGCCGCGGCATAACCCCACTACACGTGGGAAAAAAAAACAGTTCTTAAACGAACTTTGAAATTTTGAAGAAAGATTAAAACACCGACCCCAAGTTGTCACATTGTCTCTTAAGGTCGGGTCGGCCAACTAGCTCCACCCTGCGCCCAGTCGGCGGTAAACTGTCAACCAGGTGACCGCCGGGAGCCTCGTGGAGCTCTGTTCTCGCGCGGCGCTCGGAGCATACGAGAAAAGCTGTCTCAAGCGTGAAGAAAAGAACTCGAACAATATTTTTTTTCAATTTGCATCTTCGCTTCGAGGACCTATCTCGAGTGCCAGACCGAGTTCAGACCGCTCGATGCGAGAAAAGAACACGCCGGGTCATACTGGATCGGTTTATATGCGTGAGGGAGTCCGACAGCACCTCTCAAGATCACTCGTATAATACAAATAATTTCGCGAATATATCTCGAGTAGCAGACCGAGTTCAGAACTCTCGATGGAACAGACAAACGCGCCTGATGATTCTCAATCGGTTTCTGTAAGAAGCAGCGCCATAGCTCTCCTAAATCTCGAGAGAAGTACAGAAAACTGTCAATCTGTTTCAAGATGCTCGAAACGGCCGACAGTTCCCTCAAGTCTTTTGATAGAAATATTGCAGCTACGGCCCTGAGAATTTAATTGGCAGACGCGGCAGACCCCACTACAGGTTAGACTCTTGGGGCCCTTTTGGGAGACTTGTTTGGGACCTCGGGGGCCGCCTTGGAGACCTCTTGGCCCGTCTTGGGGCCATCTTGGGCGTCTTGGAGGGGTCGTTTGGCGTCTCGGAGCCTGCGTGGGCCGTCTTGGAGGCCTCTTGGAGCCTTCTTGGCCCGTCTTGAGGCCCTCGTGGGCCCGGAAAAGCCCTGGAACCGCTCGTCCCGGCCGTGCTGCGCTCGTCCCGGCCCCCTCCCCCCCTCCAAATCGGCCCTCTTGGGCCGTCTTGGTGACCTCTTGGGCCGTCTTGGGGCCGTCTTGGGCCGTCTGGAGGCCGTCTTGGGAGACTCTTGGGCCATCTTGGGGGTATCTTTGGGGCCTCTTTGCCTGTTTTGGAGCGTCGGGAAGCCGGAAAGGCGGAAAAGCAAAAAACATCGAAAAACACTTTGGAAAATCAGCAATTTTAGACTCTTTGGGCCCTCTTGGCACATTTGGGACCTCAAGGCTGTCTTGGAGACCTCTTGGCCCGTCTTGGGGCCATCGTGGGCGTCTTGGAGCGGTCGTTTGGCGTCTCGGAGCCTTCGTGGGCCGTCTTGGAGGCCTCTTGGGGGCTTCGTGGCCCGTCTTGAGGCCCTCTTGGGCCAGGAAAAGCACCGTGGATCGCTCGTCCCGGACCCCTCCCCACCTCCAAATCGGCCCTCTTGGGCCGTCTTGGGGACCTCTTGGGCCGTCTTGGGGCCGTCTTGGGCCGTCTGGAGGCCGTCTTGGGGGACTCTTGGGCCATCTTGGGGCTATCTTTGGGGCCTCTTCGCGCGTCTTGGAGCGTCGGGAAGCCGGAAAGGCGGAAAAGGAAAAAACATCGAAAAACACTCTGGAAAATCAGCAATTTTAGACTCTTTGGGCCTTCTTGGGAAGCTCATTTGGGACCTCAAGGCCGTCTTGGAGACCTCTTGGCCCGTCTTGGGGCCATCGTGGGCGTCTTGGAGCGGTCGTTTGGCGTCTCGGAGCCTTCGTGAGCCGTCTTGGAAGCCTCTTGGGGGCTTCGTGGCCCGTCTTGAGGCCCTCTTGGGCCAGGAAAAGCCCCGTGGATCGCTCGTCCCGGCCCCCTCCCCCCCTCCAAATCGGCCCTCTTGGGCCGTCTTGGGGACCTCTTGGGCCGTCTTGGGGCCGTCTTGGGCCGTCTGGAGGCCGTCTTGGGGGACTCTTGGGCCATCTTGGGGCTATCTTTGGGGCCTCTTTGCCTGTTTTGGAGCGTCGGGAAGCCGGAAAGGCGGAAAAGGAAAAAACATCGAAAAACACTCTGGAAAATCCGCAATTTTAGACTCTTTGGGCCCTCTTGGGAACATTTGGGACCTCAAGGCTGTCTTGGAGACCTCTTGGCCCGTCTTGGGGCCATCGTGGGCGTCTTGGAGCGGTCGTTTGGCGTCTCGGAGCCTTCGTGGGCCGTCTTGGAAGCCTCTTGGGGGCTTCGTGGCCCGTCTTGAGGCCCTCTTGGGCCAGGAAAAGCCTCGTGGATCGCTCGTCCCGGACCCCTCCCCACCTCCAAATCGGCTCTCTTGGGCCGTCTTGGGGACCTTTTGGGCCGTCTTGGCGCCGTCTTGGGCTGTCTGGAGGCCGTCTTGGGGGACTCTTGGGCCATCTTGGGGCTATCTTTGGGGCCTCTTCGCGCGTCTTGGAGCGTCGGGAAGCCGGAAAGGCGGAAAAGGAAAAAACATCGAAAAACACTCTGGAAAATCAGCAATTTTAGACTCTTTGGGCCTTCTTGGGAAGCTCATTTGGGACCTCAAGGCCGTCTTGGAGACCTCTTGGCCCGTCTTGGGGCCATCGTGGGCGTCTTGGAGCGGTCGTTTGGCGTCTCGGAGCCTTCGTGGGCCGTCTTGGAAGCCTCTTGGGGGCTTCGTGGCCCGTCTTGAGGCCCTCTTGGGCCAGGAAAAGCTCCGTGGATCGCTCGTCCCGGACCCCCCCCCCCTCCAAATCGGCCCTCTTGGGCCGTCTTGGGGACCTCTTGGGCCGTCTTGGGGCCGTCTTGGGCCGTCTGGAGGCCGTCTTGGGGGAGTCTTGGGCCATCTTGGGGCTATCTTTGGGGCCTCTTCGCGCGTCTTGGAGCGTCGGGAAGCCGGAAAGGCGGAACAGGAAAAAACATCGAAAAACACTCTGGAAAATCAGCAATTTTAGACTCTTTGGGCCTTCTTGGGAAGCTCATTTGGGACCTCAAGGCCGTCTTGGAGACCTCTTGGACCGTCTTGGGGCCATCGTGGGCGTCTTGGAGCGGTCGTTTGGCGTCTCGGAGCCTTCGTGGGCCGTCTTGGAAGCCTCTTGGGGGCTTCGTGGCCCGTCTTGAGGCCCTCTTGGGCCAGGAAAAGCCCCGTGGATCGCTCGTCCCGGACCCCCCCCCCCTTCAAATCGGCCCTCTTGGGCCGTCTTGGGGACCTCTTGGGCCGTCTTGGGGCCGTCTTGGGCCGTCTGGAGGCCATCTTGGGGGCCTCTGCGAGCGAAGCCAACAGCTTTCGTGCCTTGAAGGGCGCTTCCTTTGAAGCCAAATCGGTTCGCGTTCCACCCAGTGGCCGCACACTCCCGGTACCAACCTAGAAAAACCGCCGCCCCGACGGGCCCTCGGCATGCGAGAATCGGCTGGACCTGATTGGGAACGCGTTGCATTGAGAGCGCGGGCCCGAGACCAACGCGCTCAATGCAACGCGTCGCCGTCGTCGTCGTCGTCGTCGTCGCCGTAGCCTTCGTCGTCGTCGTCTCCGCCGTCGCCGTCGCCGTCGCCGTCGCTATCGCCGTCGTCGCCGCAATCGCCGACGCGTCGTCGCCGACGTCGTCTCGCTGCCATCGCCGTCAACGTCGCCGTCATCTTGGGGCCGTCTTGGGCCGTCTGGAGGCCGTCTTGGGAGACTCTTGGGCCATCTTGGGGGTATCTTTGGGGCCTCTTTGCCTGTTTTGGAGCGTCGGGGAGCCGGAAAGGCGGAAAAGCAAAAAACATCGAAAAACACTTCTTGGAAAATCAGCAATTTTAGACTCTTTGGGCCCTCTTGGCACATTTGGGACCTCAAGGCTGTCTTGGAGACCTCTTGGCCCGTCTTGGGGCCATCGTGGGCGTCTTGGAGCGGTCGTTTGGCGTCTCGGAGCCTTCGTGGGCCGTCTTGGAGGCCTCTTGGGGGCTTCGTGGCCCGTCTTGAGGCCCTCTTGGGCCAGGAAAAGCACCGTGGATCGCTCGTCCCGGACCCCTCCCCACCTCCAAATCGGCCTCTTGGGCCGTCTTGGGGACCTCTTGGGCCGTCTTGGGGCCGTCTTGGGCCGTCTGGAGGCCGTCTTGGGGGACTCTTGGGCCATCTTGGGGCTATCTTTGGGGCCTCTTCGCGCGTCTTGGAGCGTCGGGAAGCCAGAAAGGCGGAAAAGCAAAAAACATCGAAAAACACTCTTCTGGTCCACCGCGCAGAGCCGCCCACTCCTTAATGCACGAACAACCCGCGCAGACCAGCCACCAGCAGACGCGGCCACATCGACGGCAGGCCCGGAATGCGACGCCCCAGACGACCCCCCCGTGCCGTCCGTCAGAGGAACAGGCACCGACCGAGGAGAAGACCGAGGCTCCAGGAGAGACCGCACACACAGCCGGTCTCGACGATACATCTGACGCCAGTGCCTGTATGACCTGTCCAACTGCAGCGACACGCCAACGAACCGCTGATTCGGTGGCGACAGAACGCAGACGTCATGCTTCCACAGCATGCAATTGACCACCTGCGGATCATACGCCGTCAGATGCTCGGGGTCCACGCAGCCGCCCCGCTGCCGCAGCCCCCTGATGGGCAGGTCGCGAGACACCAACAGATCCTTGTCAAGATCGCGCAGCTTCTTGAACATTGCACACGAGGGCTCCATGTCGAAAGCAAGCAAAGGCAGACGGCCGCCACGCCCATTGAAGGTCACGGCCGCCAGAGCCTCCACATTCCTTTGCGGCAAATGCAGACGACCTCCAAGACCCTTGCGATCGTGGGCAAACAGGCGCATGGACTCCTGCGCGTACAAGACCAGGTCGCTGAAAGGAAACTTCGGCCAGTAGTACTCGAACCTGCGCGTGTCTCCAGCGTGGGAAAAGCCTGGAAGACAATAGTCGAGAGCGATCTCCTGAGCAGCCGAGGCCAACTCCGTCCTGTTGGCTTTGAACGCCAGCACGCTCTCCGCAATCCGCGAAGCCCCCACGTGCCAGTCGTCCAGAAAGGCCACAAAGGCCAAAACGCGCGACACAGGCGTGTCGGAAGGCAACGAACCTGCCCAAATTGGCTTCCAATGGAGCTCATCGAGGCGGCGACGCACGATCTGCAGAGGGAAACTCCGCCGGCCATCGTTCGCGGACCCCCAGAAATACTCGGCGTGCGGACACTCGCTGATCACAATGCGGGCGCGTCGAATCCACTCTGGGACGTCCTTCAGCAGGCCACCAGTGACCTCCAGGAGCGCCTCAAACCCATCAATGTCCGCACAGAACCGGAAGACCAAGTCGTAGAACACCCAAGTCGCGAAAACATCCGACGATCGGAAGGACTCACCGCGACACACGCGGAGCACGCGCGTGGCCAGGGTGTCCTTTGCAACATCCGGAACCGGAGACACGGACCCCGCGGCGAACTGGCCACGTCTCCTCCCAAACGTTCCCAAGGCCGTGATGCGACCGTTCGAGATGCCGCGCTCGAACGATGGCCGCAGGCACGGCTGATATAACGATTCCAACAACAGATCTCCAGCCTCGCACGAGGCCGCCGCCCGGTCGGAATCATCGAAGCCCTACGGAGAGGACCTTGACATGACCGCAGCAACGTGCACCAACCACACGCACTTGAGATGCACGAACTCCTCTTTGAGTTTATACTTTTTGGCGAGGGCAACCAAGGACTTGTACTCAGACGCAGACGGAATCGCAAACCGCTTTCCGGTAGCATTCCTGAGTCCCTCCCTGAGACTACCCTCGGGACACAAGTGCCGCAACGCGTTCATGCGATTCCGATCGCGCTCGTGCTGGTTCGAGACGGCCTTCGCGACCGCTGCAACGTCGCGCACGCGCACCCTCGCGTTCGCTGGAAGCACCTCCCATTCGTCGGGCAGATGGTCGCCCCCGGTCTCCTCCATGTGGCCGAGCAGCTCCTGGAGAACGCTCTCGTCCCCCCGAAGCCCCTGCGGGACGTGAGCCCACGCAAACCCATCATTCCGGAGTGCCTCTCGCACGACGCCGACGTCATTCTGGAACTGCGTCCCCACGGAAGCCAGCGCAGCCCCGCGATGAGAGACCACTCGCATCACGACTTCTCGATCTTCACGGAGACCCGGGGGCAAGGACTCGAACGCGTCGGCCCCACTGAGAACGCGCTCGACGGGGTCCCCGCGCTCCCCAGGGGCCGCACCGAATGCTCCCTCACGTAACCCGCCATGCCGCTTCCCGCGACACGGCCCGCGCCAGTCACCCTTCTTGGTGACGCGATTCTCACGCGGACCGATATGCCGGCAACCTGTGGGGGACACCGAAGCATACAAACACTCATCGGACGTCCCATCGCAGGCGCAAGCCTGCCCCCAGGATATCTGAAGCCCGCCCATGGAGTTTCGGTCGCTGCGGCGGGAACCCGACACGAACCCAGACACCGTGCCGGGCACAACCGCCGCAGGAGAAGCACTCCCCGGAGAGTCCCCCCGTGGATCCCGGGCCGGGTTCTGCCCCGAAGCGCCATCAGGCACAGCCAACGGCTCATCGCCGTCAGGCACGGCCTCAACAGACCTGGACGCGCGAGAGCGAGAGCGCGAACGACCACGCACGACAACGCGGAGCCAGGGCGCGGACTCCGGGCCACCCCCGTGGACACACTCAGAGTGTCGAGCAATCGACGCCATCGCGATAGAGGTAAGCGCACACGCGTGCCCTGTATCGAGCCACAGGAGCGAGCCGACGCAGAACGCTCCGGAGTCGCCCAACGCCCAGGCCTCACGCCGTCCATCGTGCGCCTCAAACGCCTCCACGGATGGCGCAGAGAACACGCGCACGTGCATGGCACAAGAGCGCAAATACGACGCGACCACCTCGAAATTCCAGCGCTCAAGCATTGTCCCAGAGCCGCCAGACCCCTCGTGATTCTGGCACGCACGCGCAAAATGCCGCGCAGCATCTACCCCCAGGAGATCAGCCACGGCCCTCTGCAAGCATTTCCCACGCCAAGGACCGAGACAGGACGTCCCGGGCGCGCGCCGGCACCCCCGCCCGCGACCACCACGCGGACGCGGGCGGGGCGCACGCACAGAGCTAAGATCACCGACAGACAATGGCCCAGCGCTACCCTGCGTCGCCCCGCTGAGCCCCGCCGGACACGCACCGAGAGCGATCATGGCGCAGGCAGCACGCACGGCCAGGTCCCCGACAAACAACTTCGACTCCCGCGCCGCCCGGCACTTCGAGCCGCCGATGCCAACGCCCGGCGAAAACCGCCGCGCACAGACGCGGCGGCCGCCGCACGTCCGCGCCGGGAGCCCGTAGAGCGCGCAGCAGAACCACCTGGCGGTAACGACCGCAGTCTCAAGATCAGCCGCCTCGGGCGCGTCCGGGAGCGTCCGCGCGAACACATCACGCTGCCGCCACCAGCGAACCGCCGCGATCTTCCTCGTCGTCACCGCTGTGCTGTCTTCCTCTGGCGGGCACACACCGAGAGAGACCAGAACGCAGGCAGCGCGCAGAGCCGCGTCGCCCACGGTCCACGACAACACGTCGGGCGCAGACGCGGGGGCGGCCCGGGCGGCGCGCGCCGGCGACTCCTCCAGGTCGACGGCACGGGCCGCGCGCGCGGTCAGGAATTGCTCCACTCGCCCGTCCTTGCAGGCCGTCCCCCGCGCGCTGCGCCCAGACGAGACCAGCTCTGGCGACGCGTCGCGCAGCAGGGAGCGAGGCAGGACGGGGAGCAGCACACGGCGTGCAAGCTGTTCGTTCCGCTCGGCCGCCGCCTCCGTCCGCCGCGCCCACTCCGCGTCCCGCCGCGCGCGCCGAGACCGCCGGCACGACGCGCGGCCCGCTTTCCGGAGCGATTTCTGCTCGCGCCCCAGCGCCTCCAACGCGGAATCATCGACGACATCCTCATGGATAACGTCGTGCTCTGCGAGCAAGGACTTCTGCACCCGGTCGTCCCATGCACTCGAATCCCGGGCCGGCGCCGCGCGCTCCGCGCACCGTTTCCCCCTCCGAGCGCCCGTTTCCAGGGAGCTCGTCTCGCCCGGAAAACTGCGCGCCGGGCGGGAAAACGCTCGCGAAAAAATCGCGAGCGTTTCCCCCTCCCAGCGCGCATTGCCAGAGAAATCAATTCTGCCCCGGGAGCCGCGCGCTGGACGGGAAACCGCCCGCGAAAAATTCGCGATTTCCCCCTCCCAGAGCGCGCCCCCCTGCGTCCTGGGCCCCGCCTCTGCCCCTGGCCCCGGCCCCTGGCCCCCCGGGCCCGGCCCCTGGGTCCCCGGCCCCGGCCCTGGCCCCGGCCCCGGCCCCGCCCCCGGGCCCGCCCCCGGCCCCGCCGCCAACCCCAAACCCACATTACCTAGGCTGAAATGAAACTGGGGGATACCCAGTCTCACCGGCAGTTCACCAAGTACTACCTTATTCCCCCCGGCTGGGGGAAAACCCAGCCGTCGGGGAGGGAAGTGTGCTCCTAGAGCCTGCGCCTAGCGCCACCCTGCCGAGGGGATGGCAGGGCTGAGGACGACGGTCTCCCATGGGATTGGGAAGGACCGCCGTCCCCGAGGGGAAAGGACGACCGCCTTGGGGGCGACCGTCCAATCCGGTGTGTGCGCGCGTGTGCGTGCGTGTGTGTGTGTGTGTGTGTGTGCGTGTGTGTGTGCGTGCGTGCACGCGCGTGTGTGCGGGCGCCGCGGCCGCCCAAGCGCCCGCGCCCGCCCGCGCGGCGCGCCCCCGTCCCCGCGCGCGCGCGAGGGTCCCGGGGGCGGTCGCGCGGGGGGCGCAGCGCTGGCGAGCCGGCGGCGCGGGGCGTTCGTCGTCGTCCTCGTCGCCGCCGCCTCTTTCCCCCCCCGTTTTCTGTCTCCTCTGCTCTCCCTCTCCCTCCCGCTTTCTTCTCTTCTTTCCCTCCTCACGTGTTCTGCTTTCTTGCCTCTCTCCTCTCTGCTGCTTTCTCTCCCCCTCTTCCCAAACGCGCGCGCCCAGGGTCTCGCCCCCCGGGCCGCGCGAGCGCCAACCCCCTCTCTGCTGCTTTCTCTCCCCCTCTTCCCAAACGCGCGCGCCCGGGGTCTCGCCCCCGGGGCGCGCGAGCGCCAACCCCGGGTCCTCGCCCCGGGGCCGCGCGCGCGCGGAGTTACACCCGGGCCGCTCGTGCACGCGCTTTACGCGTGCAGGAGCGGCCTAACGCACGCCGTTCACCGTGCGTGGAGACGCTGGAGACCTCGCGTGACAGAGCTCTGGAGACGCTGGACAGCTCCCCTGAAGCGCTCCGGAAGCGCTGCCAGCGACGCTTCCACGCGCGCCTGCACGTGTGCACGCACACTTGCACGCGTGCCTGAAACGCTCCCGGACACGCTGCAAGTCCCGGCGAGCCGCTGCGGGGATCGTGGAGCGGAGAGCGTGGGAGTGCGGCGATGCACGCGCACCCGCCGGCTTCTCCTCTAACAACCCTACGTAGCCCAACAAAAGGGCTATCCGGGAATTACTCTTAAGCTTCCAGCAATTACTTGCTAAGGGAAGCTCTACGAGTTACTAGCTCCACCCCGCGCCGGAATTCCTCTAGCTCATCGATGCCGAAAAGCTCTACGAGGTACTTGTAAGCGTCCAAAACCCGGATAGCGAAGCGAAGCGCGGCACGCCGCACGGAGACCTCTGCCAGGCCGCCTGAAACGATGCGCGGGAGGCTGGAAATCGCGCAGGAGACGCTTGCAGGGGCGCCGTTTACGATGCGTGGGGTCCTGCAAAGCGCGCAAGGAGGATCTGCCTAGGAGGATGGAAGAACTGCCGAAGCTCTTCCGAAGCTCTGCCGAAGCGCTTCGCGCACCCTGGAGCCACGCGTATTGGGAAACGCTAGGAAGCCACGCTCCCGGACCCGCTGCAACCTCCGGCGAGTTGCTGCGAGAATCGTGGACCGGCGGAGGTGAGCGTGTCTCCCTCACTACCCACCTCCGGCTTCTTATCTGAAACCCTCAGCTCCCCAAGGAGCTATCCGGGAATCTGCCTAGGAGCCTGGAAGAACTGCCGAAGCTCTTCCGAAGCTCTGCCGAAGCGCTTTGCGCACCCTGGAGCCACGCGTATTGGGAAACGCTAGGAAGCCGCGCTCCCGGACCCGCTGCAACCTCCGGCGAGTTGCTGCGAGAATCGTGGACCGGCGGAGGTGGGCGTGTCTCCCTCACCACCCACCGCCGGCTTCTTCTCTGAAGCCCTCAGCTCTCCAAGGAGCTATCCGGGAATTACTCTTAAGCTTCCAGCAACAACTTGCTAAGGGAAACTCTACGAGTTACTAGCTCCACCCCGCGCCGGAATTCCTCTAGCTCATCGATGCCGAAGAGCTCTACGAGGTATTACTCTTAAGCTTCCAGCAATAACTTGCTGAGGAAAGCTCTACGAGTTACTCGTAAGCTTCCAGCAATAACTTGCTAAGGGAAGCTCTGCGAGTTACTTGTAAGCGTCCAAAACCCGGATAGCGAAGCCAGGCGCGAAGCGCGAAGCGCTCCAAAACGCCGCACGGGGACCTCTGCCAGGCCGCCTGAAACGATGCGCGGGACGCTGGACACCTCGGAGGAGACGCTTGCAGGGGCGCCGTTTACGATGCGTGGGGCCCTGAAAGCGCACAAGGACGATCTGCCTAGGAGCCTGGAAGAACTTCCGAAGCTCTTCCGAAGCTCTGCCGAAGCGCTTCGCGCACCCTGGAGCCACGCGTATTGGGAAACGCTAGGAAGCCACGCTCCCGGACCCGCTGCAAGCCCTGGCAAGCTGCTGCGACGATCGTGGACCGGCGGAGGTGGGCGTGTCCTCCTCACCACCCACAGCCGGCTTCTTATCTGAAACCCTCTGCTCTCAAGGAGCTATCCGGGAATAACTTGCTGCGGGAAGCTCTACGAGTTACTTGGTAGCGTCCAAAACCCGGAGAGCGAAGACACCCTCGGAGACCCGGAATCTTTCCTGTGCAGCTCTGAGCGACCCGCTGCAGCGCTGCTGAAGCGCTGCCAGGAACGCTTCCAAGCGTGCCTGTACGCGTGCAGGCACGCGTGGAAGCTTGCCGGAAGCTCTCCCCGACACGTTGCCGGCTCAAACGACCTGCTGCGGGGAACGTGGATCGCCGGAAAAGAGCTCCTGGCGGGCACCACCACCGTCTGGCTTCTAATCCTAAATCTTTTAGCTCTCAGCGAGCTCTCCGGGAATACCTCGTAGAGCTCTTCGGCAAGGATGAGCTAGAGGAATTCGGGCGCGGGGTGGAGCTAGTTTGCCCACCCGGCCCGGACGGACAATGTGGTAACTTGAAGTCGGTTTTTCGAAGATTCTGTGAGATTTTTAAATTCGTTTCTGGAATCTAGATTTTTATTCTATGCAGTCGAGCATGGCGCGTTCAATGGTACAATTCTTAGGGCTCTAG